CCTCTTCGTTCATACCTAAATCTTTAAGCTTTGCTATTTTCTTATCGTTTTCTTCTTTTAGATGTTTGTTTGCCCTATCGTGTAATTCTGTTGCAATATCTTCGTTAAAACCTTCTATAGAAGCAAGTTCTTTTATTGAGGCGCTAGCTATGTCTTCCACGCTTGAAAACCCTTCTGTTACTAACAACTGACCCATAATCTCTTCTAAATTTAAGGCCTCAGAAAATAAAGCAGAGCATTCACTGAACTCTTTATTCCGTCTTTCTGATTCTTGTCGAGTACTCAATATTTCGATTTTCCATCCAACAAGATCTGAAGCTAGTCTTACGTTTTGACCCTTTTTTCCTATAGCTAAACTCAGCTGATCCTCTGGAACTATGACTTCTACACAGTGCTCATCTTCATCAATAATAACTTTTGCTACCTCTGCAGGGGTGACTGCTCTAATGACAAATTTACCTAGATCTGAAGAATAATTTATGACATCAATTTTTTCCCCATTTAATTCGTGTATTACAGTTTTTATTCTGTCTCCTCTAATTCCAACACAAGCACCTACCGGATCAATGTTTTTATCAGGAGAGAAAACAGCAACCTTTGATCTTGATCCTGCATCTCGAGCTATAGCCTTGATTACCACCAATCCATCAGCTATTTCCGGTATCTCTTGTTTTAACAGGCCTTCTAAGAAACCTTCATGGATTCTAGATAAGATGATCTGGTGTCCATCATCAGAACGCTTTACACTTTGTATGTAAGCTTTAACTTTGTCCCCTTCGCGAAAACGCTCATCACCAATTAAATTACGTGATAGAAGAAATGCATTAATACCATTGATATCTACAGTAATATCAGTATATCCTATTTGCTTTACAATACCGTACCTTATTTCTCCCACCTTATCCTTAAATTCTTCATACTGCTTCTTTAACTCTTCATCTTTTATGACCTGTGCAATTTTCTGCTGAGCAATCCTTGCTGAGGCAAGATCGGTATCAAAATGAAGTGGCTCACGAATAATATCACCAACTTTTACATCTCCTCCACCTATCAATTTAGCACATGAGAGAGTACATTTATTATCACTCGAATTTAAATCATATTCATCGTCAACCACTTCTAGTTTTCTATATACAGACACTTCTCCTGTATTTCTATCTATATCAACTATGATTTTGCTCTTACTACCGTATTTTTGATTAACTACTGCCTCTATGGAGCTTTCTAATGCCTTCATTATAATTTCAAAGTTCAAACCTTTCTGTTCTGAAACTTCAAAAGCTGTGCGTATTATGTCAAGTCCACCAATTTTGTTGTTTTTGTGTTTTTTACGATTAGAGATCATATTAAAAATTAAATTAACTAATAATTATAGCTTTAACGGGCTATTTCAAGTGTTCAATAATTGCTTCTTGAAGTCAAGTTTTTTCACACAAGATCTTGATAGTGGGTTTGTTAAGCTTATACTTAAATTTGATTTTTTTTGTAAAATAATATGAAACCAAAATATTACTGGACAGCTTTTCTTTTTCTATTGCTTGTTTTTCACAACCATGCTGATGCAAAAATTATTTTAGATAAAAAAGTATTTTGTGCAGAAGTTGATGGACAAATAGATTTGAGGTTTGGTTACCCTTTTAATAAAAGTTCCTTTAGGGATAAGCCCAGGGATAAAATATCAAGTTATTCAAAGCTGAAACTTCTCTACCTTCAACGCATTCAACAAGATATGCAGATAGGTATTGGCATTAAGGTAGGCGGATCAGATTTGATAGATTCAAGTAGTTTAAATATAGACAAATTAGGCATGGAAGAAAGGTATTTTATCATCAAGAATCAAAAACTAGGTTCAATTGAATGTGGAGAAACGAGCTTAGTTAGTAAAAGTATGCTCATCAACACTGAAAAAATCTATACTGCTGCTGGCGGAGTAAATGGTAGTT